AATGAATAAGTGAGGAGTAGGGATGTGCATGATCAAAAAATGCTGTTTGGAAATTCAGGTAAAAATTCGGCACTTCAGAAATTCAGGACTTCGGTTCTGTTCGGTGCTTCCAAAATTCGGGACTTCGGCAATTCAGGACTTTGACAATTTCGATCTTCGGTTCGGTTCAGCACTTCCAAAATTTGGGACTGCGGCAATTCGGGACTTTGGAATTGAATTTTCCCTCCCTCTCTTGTTTTGCCACTTTGCAGAAATCCAAAGCACTTCAGCACTTCCGAAATTTGGCCCTTAGGCAATTCGGCACTTCAGTTCGGATCGACAATTCGGGAATTCGGCACTTCAGCAATTCGGTTCAGTTTGGCACTTCCGAAATTCGGCACTTTGGCAATTCGATACTTCGGCAATTCGGCACTACGGACATTCGGAAGCATTCTGAATTGCCCAAAATTCGTCCTAATTCACATTCAGACTGAAACGAGTCCAGTGTGGAGAACCACTTATGACTAGAGCTTTAAACCAACTCTACAATAACAGGCTAAAGATATACGAAAGGCGATAAGACATTCAAAAGAGAGGATAAGAAACACAAAAAGGGGTAAGAAATTCAAGAGTGGGATTGTTAGGCTACAAAATTTACAGGGTCTGTAACTCTTACACTGCCATGGCCTTATGCTAGTAGCACATCTTGCTTTCCTTAATCTTTTTTTATGTTCACTGCAGAGTACATACATGTACAATTAATGCAGACCAGTCATTATGAGGTTCCAGAAAAATAGCTTTTTTAATGCGGGTACAGCGTATATGAAACAAGCACAGTTTTCATAGGGGTGCATCCAACAGAAGATAAAATAAACCAATCATAGATTTCAGTGCAAAAAGTATAATTTCTCATATAACATTACGTATTCCAGTCATTCTACTGCGCATGTCTAGCATGTCTTCTCAAAACTAAGCAGAGTTATCTTGTGAGAGAAAAAAGGGAGTATGTGTGCTTGCAAGATAGCAGACAGGGGATAGAATTCTTTCTTTTAACCCTTGCAGACGTGGAAAGACTTAACTAAGACAAAAAGGCTTTTTAACCCTTTATTTACCTGTATCTATGACAAGTCCTCTTTTTCTGGTACTGCCCAGACATCTGTTGCTACAGAATAATATATGTTATTAAATCCACGTCTCAGTATGCAATACATCCATAGGTTACTGTATATATTTATAGCTTTGTATGACTAGGGGAATATTCACTAAGCATTGCATAGGTAAAATCATTCATTCTCCATCAAGGATTAAGGGACACACCGGTGAAGATGCTTTATTGGGTTACATGGTTCAGTTCCATTGCAGGTTTGTTATCTAGTGTTTCACTTCATATATTGTTAAATCTAGCTAGTTACCTATAGCTGCTGAATACACTACCAGGTGAGCTTTAGAATTAACCAGCAAAATGTCTAGAGCAGGGGTAGTCAACCTTTTAATACCTACCGCCCACTTTTGTATCTTTGTTGATGGTAAAATTTCCTTTTTTACATTTTAAATTCTTTATTTTTATTGTGCACGGGGTAAGAAACACCTTACTATGCCACATGCATAGTATGCATTTGATATTGTGATGGGATTTCAGCAAGGCCCAAAATTTAGTAGACTGAAATCTCCACGTGGCATATGCTAAGTGTATCAAATTACAAATAGTTAAGTGAGTCATCAGTGTACTGAGCATGTGCAGGAACTGAAATCACATTCCTTTGTCTTAATGAGCCATGCGGTCTGCCCATATAAGGTGATCCTGTGCAGGGTGCTCAGACATTTTGGAAGAGGAATTCAGCTGAGACCCGATCCGTAACAATAAAGACCTTTTACTTCCTGAATTGATCTGCGTCCGACTCTCTATGTGTGGCTTCCACAGTGTTCTCCGGTAACATATCTGGTGCATTGGTGGCGGGAACCTCATCGCACGGAAGCCGGCGTAGAGATTTGAGAAGGTAACCATTTACCCAGTTCTCCACTGCAGCACCCCTGGACTTCGACTGCGTGGACTTCCTTTCATCTCGCCGCCACTGGCATTTTGTCCAGGTGATCATCGGCTTCTGCGCAGTGAGTACCGGGGTTGACGAGTGTGAACCCAGGTCCAGGAACTTAAAGGTAAACCCACTAGGGGCAAAATCTGGTATCTGATAACTGACTGACCTCCCCTTGTCAAGACTAAGTGAATCTTGTTGTAAATTCAGTCACTAGATCGGGGATACCGGGGAGACTAAGCGAATTCTGGCGTATATTCCATTCGCTAGATCTCCAAATATCTTTACTAAGTGGATTCTGGTGTATATTCCGTTCACTAGCTCATAGATATTGGAACTGAAGACTAAGCGAATTCTGTTGTAAATCCCGTTCGCTAGATCTTAAACTTATATAGAATAGGTGAATTATGGTGTACATTCCGTTCTCTAGATCGTGGTGCCTGGGCAGCGTAATCTAAGCAAATTCTGGTGTACATTCTGTTCGCTAGCTCTCAAGGTGCTGGCCAGTTAGAGTAGTTGGGTTTTGCTGTAAATGTTGTATAAATACGTTATAGTTGTTAACATGTATGTCCTGCTAAAAAGTTTGAGCTCCACTGTTTAGCAGACTTGTAAAAAGTGTGTATAGTGTATAATAGCGCATGACACCATAAGCACAGAGTGAAAACCATAACCACTGACATTACATAAACGACACTAAAAATACTGTTTGACATTGTAATTGTAACACCATAACTATTACTATTTGATATTGTAACTATAACCCCATAATTATCTAACTGTACAATAATTACTAACCGTACCATAACCACTCACTGTAGAGACAAAATTGTTGAACTGTTATGCGATTGGTTGGTTTATGTTGATTAACTGTATAGATAATTGTATGATTTGATTTATAACTGCATTGATAATTGTATAGTATTTGATGGGTTTTGATTTTGCTTTGCATGTGTGAGATGTCTTAATGTTGTGAAACGTGTGAGGATCCTGTGCGTGTGTGTACGTGTGTGTTTTGGCCTGGTAACAAGGTGATAAGGAGATTGGTGTGACTGTTGAAACTGTGTTCGTATATTTGTACTACTTTGAATCAGACGCTCTGTTGAAATCATGGGTGCTTTTGATTTACAAATTGTTGGTCTTTTGTCTTGTATGTTTAAAAAAAACAAAAAAAAAACTTATGGTGTAACACTGTCCCCCAAAAGATGAAAATACTCTGTGTAGCAGAGAATGGCCTGTTCTGGTAACCAGTGGTTCTGTGGTAGCCTTGATCCAGATTTAATATAGCAGGTTTATATTGTTATAAATAGTATGCTGGGGCTTATGGTTAAATTCTGTATATTGATAGTTGGAAGCAGATTGTTAAAAAAAACAGCCTAATTGGATCAGAATGTGCCACAAGGAACAATGGAACCACATGGTAGCCAGAACTCGTTTGCCCACTAAGGCCTTAATTCCACCTAGTTTGGACACCCTCCCCCTGAATCTGATTTCCCTTTCCGAACCCCCTACTCTTCTTCCCAAGCCATAGTACTATAATATTTTGGACACAGAGGGATTGGAAATAAGATTAAAAATTAGTGATAATATAATTTCTGATAAAACTGTTAAAATGTATCCAAAGTAACAGCATAAACAGCCTGTCTCAGTGTAATGGCTGAATTATCAGCACGAGGAATGTATCCTTGATAAGATATAATTAAAGTATATCTGCTTCATTAGACTCTAGGAAGCACTCTGGGATCCACCTACTGGCTACTTTTGGGAGTTACATTGACTTTTAGTGTTTAAAATACTAATGACCGTTTAATCATCTTTAACTCTATACTGGTATACAACAGACAGAATTAGGACTGCTAACCGTATTTTAATATTTCTTGCTGTAAGGTTTTATTTTATGTAGAAATATATTAAAAGCTAAGTTTTATTATTAGACCCATAAGGACTATATTTTTGATACAATTACCCTCTCACCTACTGGTAGGTTTTTGTTTAACACATTTTTTCATTTCGGTTTTGTTTCTAATCCTTTTGTATCTAGGAGTTAAATTTAGCCACCTAATGCCATAAATGTCTGTAGTCTGGTGTTAACACGTATGATTACTGTTATGCTAAAAAATCTGGCATTTACAGATGCCTCTCTGATTTACACCTGGCCCAACACACATTGAGGGCAATGGCCAGTTGATGACTGATTTGGTCACATTGATTATTCAAACTCACAACCCTACTTGGGCTGATTGTCAGCAGTTATTATTAACTCTTTTTAATTCTGAGGAAAGGATCCGTATTAACCAAGCGGCCATTAAAGCTCTTGAGGAAATGACCCGTACCCAAAACCAAGCCAATCCAGCTGCTTAGGCCGCTGCCCATTTTCCCAATCTGGATCCTAATTGGAATGTAAATGGAGCTGACATGATCCATTTAAAGGCCTATCAACAAACCACTTTTACTGTCAAGAAGGCAGGTGGGAAAAAGGCGATTAATATGTCAAGGATGGCTGAAGTGTTACAGAAAGCCGATGAATCACCCAGTGTCTTTTATGAGAGACTGCTTAAGTCATATAGACTGTACACTCCTTTTAATCGTGAGGCCCCTGAAAACTCTTGCATGACTAACTCAGCATTTGTCAGCCAGGCCCAGAATGATATTAAAAGGAAGTTGCAAAAGTTAGAGGGATTTGCAGGGATGTCTATAACGCAGCTAATGGAGATTGCAAATAGAGTGTATATGAACAGGGAAACTGAAACAAAGCGTGAGGAGGAACGTAAGATGAGGAAGAAAGTGGATATGTTAGCGGTTGCTATAACAGGTGTAGGTAGACAGGGAGGGGAGATGGATAGAAGAGTTGAGACTAGGATAAGTAGGACACCATGAGGCAGAAATCAATGTGCGTATTGTAGAGAGGAAGGACATTGGAAAGGTGAATGCCCACAGAGGGGATATATAGCAGGTGATAGGCAAGAGGTGATGAGAGAAGAGGACGAAATGGTTACAGTGGTGGCTATAGAGGAAGAGGAAGTTTTGGAGGGAGCAACAGTAGTAATAGAGGAAATGTTCAGGAAGGCAGATATTATCCCCCTACTCATAGACCAAAAGATAGGGATGATAAGGACTTTGTGGGTCTGGCTTATACTTTCATGGAGGACTATTGATGAGAGAGAAGTCCCTTCATGACTGACACGGGGCTGAACATTCTGTTGTAACCAAATTAGTAGCCCCTCCCTCTGGAAAGACTGTAGTAGGAGCTACTGAGAAAGAACCAGTGTCTGGAGTTTGATTAAAGGTACGAGACGATTTTAAACATGGTTGAGAAAGATAACAGAGAGCAGCAAGTAGGTGTTTTGACAACCATAATAAAGCTTGACCACCTGCCTACGTTACATAGCCAGAGTGTCTCGAAGGGACCTCTGTGAAGGGAAGAGAGGATCAGACGGACAATCATCCTAGCAGCCCTCACAAGCGGGAAGGTGAGGTGCTGTCGCACGGTCGAAAAAGAGGATGAGGACCCCAAGTATAATGTGTTTTCTTGTGTGTTTTAATGTTTTTATAGTATTTCAGGAAGGTACAGGTGAGGATATTCAAAGCTGTGTTAGTTGTATTAAGACTACAAAAACAGGTAACCAGATATCTCAGACCTTTATTTGGCACTCACAGTATGAATGTATGGGATCTGTGTCTAGGTGTAGATACTTAGATACTGATTATAGTGTGTGTCAACCAATATCGGATGAGCCTAAGTGTTTTGATCCCCAATTCCAACCCCGTACAATTTGGTTGGTAATTCGAAATACTCACTCTCAGGGGACATTGATAAATAGAACTGTGTTAAGCACCATACATTCCACGGGTCTCCTATTATTTGATGCATGTAAGGCGATTTCAGGTAGTAGAAAACCTTGGAATGTATGTGGTAATCTTAAAAGGGAACGGACTTATGGGTTCAATTACAAATATTTATGCCCTAGTAAAAGATCTACTGATCCTGACTGCCCAAATAGAGACTTTAACTTCTGCCCATATTGGTCATGTGTAGGTTGGGCGACCTGGGGAAAAACAGTAGACCAGGATATGATAATTCAAAGGTTGCCCACTACACCTTGTTGTAAAACAATGGAGTGTAATCCCGTGCACATGACCATTTCCAATCCGCAGCAATTTATTGATAAGTTTGGGAATCTTTTTGGGTTTCAAATATATGGTACAGGAGCAGATCCAGGAGCCATACTATATGTAGGCCTTGAAACTGAGACCATGAATGCTCAAACTCATCAGGTATTCCATTCCTTTTATGAGGAGATGAGTGTTGATGATAAAGTTCCCCATAACATTAAGAACCTATTTATTGATTTGGCTGAGAGTATCGCAGGTAGTCTTAAAATAAATAACTGCTTTGTATGTGGAGGTACAAACATGGGAGATCAATGGCCATGGGAGGCAAGAGAAGTATGGTACCCAGGTTCTGAGACAAATGAGCAACAGATGCCTTCCCAATCTGACCATCAAGTAAGTATACTAGAAAAATCTAAATGGCAATTAAAGACATCTATAATAGGTCATGTATGTTTAGCTAGAGGAGGTCCAATGTATAATACACCTGTTGGCGAGTTAACCTGCTTAGGACAGAAGGCCTATAATGCTAGTACCCAAAATACTACTTGATGGTCGGCTTCAAATGTCTCAGAGCCTACTAATCCTTTTGCTAATTACACCAATTTAAGAGAGTTATGGTTTGATCTAACAGCTACATCTAATTGGAGAGCCCCAGCGAATCTATATTGGATTTGTGGTAAGAAAGCCTACTCAGAATTACCACAACCTGGGCCCTATCTCTCCATTCTTACAACCTGGACCATGTCTCTCTATTCTGACAACCTGGACCCTGTCTCTCTATACTAGGCAACCTGGACCCTGCCTCTCTCTTCTTGGAAATCTGGACCCTGTCTCTCTATTCTTAGCAACCTGGACCCTGTCTCTCTATTCTTATAACCTGAACCCTGTCTCTCTATTCTGAAAACCTGGACTCTGTCTCTCTATTCTTACAACCTGGACCATGTTTCTCTATTCTTACAACCTGGACCCTGTCTCTTTATTCTTGGCAACCTGGACCCTGTCTCTCTATTCTTATAACCTGGACCCTGTCTCTCTATTCTGACAACCTGAACCCTGTCTCTCTATTCTGACAACCTGGACTCTGTCTCTCTATTCTTACAACCTGGACCATGTCTCTCTATTCTGACAACCTGGACTCTGTCTCTCTATTCTTACAACCTGGACCCTGTCTCTCTATTCTTGGCAATCTGGACCCTGTCTCTCTATTCTTGGAACTGGAATAACCTAGGGACCTGCTTTGAACTTTACTACCTACAGGTTCCTCAATCAAGAGAGTCACCCACTGCATTCACTAAGTGGGTATAAGACATTTTCCCTTTGGGACTTTTATGCACCTTGGACTAGGTATGCTCAAACCATCCTTCTTCTTGTTGCCAATTGAAATGGTAGAGACCTTGGGAGTTAAGGTTTATGATGTAAATCATAGAAAGAAGCAAGCATCATTGAATGTAGGTAATTGGGAAGATGATGAGTGGCCACCTCAACTAAGTATTAATTATTATGGACCTGCTACCTGGACTGAAGATGCTACTTATGGATACCGAACCCTATATACATGCTCAACCACATTATAAGATTACAGGCGGTGGTTGAGATTATAACCAATGAGACAGCTGAAGCACTTAACCTTTTGGCAAAACAAAATACCCATATGAGATCAGTCATATACCAAAACAGGCTGGCTCTTGATTATTTACTAGCAGTAGAAGGAGGTGTGTGTGGAAAGTTTAACCTCAGTAATTGTTGTCTGCATATAGATGATGAGGGGCAGGCAGTGGTTGATCTGACGCACGTACCTACTCAGATCTGGAACGGGTATAATCGAAGTAGTTGGTTTGGGAGCTGGTATGAACAGCTTGGTGGGATTAAAGCATTGGTAGGAGGAGTGGTATTTATTATTTTCTTATGCCACTTCCTGCCCTGCCTTATCCCATTAGTAATCCGATCCATACGTAACATTATTGAGAGTACTATAGAGAGGAAGACAGCAGCCCATGTAATGGCCATCTGGAAATATGATCCTTTAGCCCAGAGAGAGATTATTGGTAATCAGTTCGATGAGTGTTGAGAGATCGCAAAGTTAGGTTAGAATGCTCACATGGCCTGTCCTGGTTCATGCTTACTTGAATGGTGTTGGAAAATTATGGTTAGTGATGCATCTGGAATAACTATATATCAGAAGCATCAAAGGGGGGAATGTGATGGGATTTCAGCAAGACCCACAATTTAGTAGGCTGAAATCTCCAAGTGGCAAATGCTAAGTGTATCAGATTACAAATAGTTAAGTGAGTCATTAGTGTACTGAGCATGTGCAGGAACTGAAATCACATTCCTTTGTTTTAATGAGCCATGCAGTCTGCCCATATAAGCTGATCCTGTATATCCTGGTTACTGATTGGTCTGAGGAATATAGGAGGGGTTATACTGTATGGGAGAGGATATGCTGTTAATAAAAAGTCTCTTCACCTTGTGCAGGGTGCTCAGACATTTTGGAACAGGAGTTCAGCTGAGACCCGATCGGTAACAATAAAGATCTTTTACTTCCTGAATTGATTTGTGTCTGACTCTCTATGTGTGGCTTCCACAGTGTTTTCCGGTAACAATATCACAGTAATTCACAGATATGGCATTGAAGTAAAGGCACATTTTTAAGGTATAGATAATATAAACAAGCGTAGGTAGCTATGTCATTGGATTATCACCATTAAGCATAAAAATGAAATTAAACAGGCTATACTAGCTGACATTGCTGGCTTAGATAAAATTATATGTTTAACAAGTGGACTAATGCTCAATATGTATTTTCCGCCATATTGACATTTAAAGGTTGTCTAGTAGAGGCAGAAATTATGTAGTGTAGTTCAGGCTAGATACAAGATGAGAGTGAGTGAGTAACATGTTTGGCTTTGCTTTGGCATAGGCAGGTATTTATCATATTTAGTGTACTATCCTGCAGGAGTTCAATCATGGAGTGGTGTGGGTACATACGGTATGTGTCCTGCAGTATGCGGAGAAGGTGTGCCTGTGTATCGTTACTCAGGGGATGGACCCCTGGTCAGCCCCTATATAGCTTAAAATGTAGTTAAACAAAAGCATTAAAATATAGTTAAACTTAAGTATGCAAGCAGAGAAAACAAAGATAGCTTAATATCGGTGGCCACTTTAGTGTGGTTTTAGGTGGGTATATTGGATTACTGTGGTGGTAGCTGTGGCTTATAGAATTATGTCCCTGGGCAGTGGGGGTTGTGTTCTCTGGATGGCATGTCCATGTCAGCCGATTCCTTGGCTCAGTAAAGTCAGAGATGCTCCGGGTATGATGGATTGAGCAGGGTGTTCTGGTATCTTGCCCCTACTTCTCCGTGCTTGAAAGGGGGCCAGCGACTGGGGTCTATCATTCTGGTGATCCTGGAGTGAGTTAGCCCTCTAAACACTTTTTTTAAACCTATTTTTCATTGCCATTATATATTGCACTATTATTTGTTCATTTTTTTAATTTGAGGTTATACAAGTTGAACTATTACGCGTTTGGTTTTATGTATGTATATGTTGATTTTTATATACAGTGCACAGTTGTGAACACTGTTTATATTTTCTGTTTTGATTTAAATCAAAAAGATTGTGGTGAGACCAAACACGACAAAACTCCCCATAGTGCACATACAAAAAATGACTGTTGTACATCCACTGCATATCTCAAGTTATAGTTTGAGAAATCGTTCTTGGGTATAGAAATTCAAGAAATCGTGTTTCCACAACTATCTTGAAATATATGCTTCTCTTTATGTAGAATCAAAATTCAGCTTTGTGTTTTCACTCTGTTCTCACCATTTTTAAATGAACAAATATATTTCCTTGCAAACATCTTTGCATTTTGTTTTCGTTGACTCCATGAATGTACAGACTCTGACAGTGGTCTAACTAATGTAGAGAGCAGAGCACAGCCGTCTTTAAAGCGGGGCAAACGGGGCAGCTGCCCCGGGCCCATTTACTCCTGGGGGGGCCCAAAGCAGCTACCCCGTGGGCCCCGCTGTCCGCTACCCCCTGGGCCCGCCGGTGCTGCGGCTGCACCGGGAGCCCCCACACTAATAGGCCGCGGTCGGGCACTTAT